TAACAAGGCCTGCATACCATGTTTTCCCTTGCCCTGAGGCAAGCAGTGAAAATTCTCAAAGGTAGGCCTAGGATTCTCCTCAGAAAATAATTTTTAATTCAGTCTAGTACGTATGGATTATACCTCAACATAAAGAAAACAAAAATCCTCACAACTGGACCAATAAGCAACATCAGGAGAAAATATTGAAGTTGTCAAGGATTTTCTTTTACTTGCGTCCACAATCAACACCCATGGAAGCAGCATCCAAGAAATCAAACAATGTATTGCGGCGTGCAAATCTGCTGCAAAAGACCTCTTTAAAGTGTTAAAAAGCAAAGATGTCACTTTGAGGATTAAAGTGTGCCTGACCCAAGCCATGGTCTTTTCAATCACCTCATATTCATGCGAAAGCTGGACAATGAATAAGGAAGACCAAAGAATTGATGCCTTTGAATTATGGTTTTCGTGAAGAGTGTTGAATATACCATGGACTTCCAGAACGACGAACAAATCTGTCTTGGAAGAAGTACAGCTGAATACTCCTTAGAAGCAAGGATGGCGAGACTTCGTCTCATATACTGTGGACATGTTATCAGGAGGAACCAGTCCCTGGAGAAGGACATCATACTTGGTCAGCAAAAAAGAGGAAGACCCTTAGTAAGATGAATTGACACAGTGGCTGCAACAGTGGGCTCAAACATAGCAACGATTGTGAGGATGGTACAGGACCGGGCAGTGTTTTGTTCTGTTATACATAGGATCACTATGAATTGAAACTGACTCGATGGCACCTAACAACAACAACATATCAAGTTCATCTAAAAATGATACCACATCAAGTTAATTCAAGGAGAAATGCTGTGCAGCTATGTAAAAGAGAGAGAGAGAAAGAGGGAAAAATAGTATGTACTGATGTGGAAAGATGTCCTTGAGATTCTGTTGAATGAAAAAATAATTTGCAAAGTAGCGTATATGATAATCCTCATTTGTTAAAAAGACAAATATATACCAAATGTGTATATCTCTGGAGATAAGGATTATGGGAATCTGTTGTTTTGTTCTGTTCTCTATTGTTTAACAGTCGCGTATATTACTTTTATCAGAAAAAAATAGAAGTTTGTTTTGTTTTGTTGTGTTTTTAATGGAAGGGAGATAATACAGGCAAGACAGGGTAGTATAATGTAGTATACAAAATAAGAACCTTTGTTTCCTTGCTGTACAACTAGGATACTAGAGCATCCCTAAAAGGCAGGCTGATCATATAATTTACTGTCCAAACAAAGATACTAGAGTGTTTTTGAAAAGGGGAGCAATGTTAATCTCACCAGGACACCAGACATAAACTGGGATATGTGGTCACCCTACTCGTAGGGTTATTCTATGAATCAAATGAAATTTTGCCTGTGAAGCATCTAGCACAGTGTTTGACAGAGCTCAGTAAAGGTTAACAATTATCATTATTTTAACCCTCAGGAAATTTTCGGGTACTTAGAAAACTCTCTCTTCCTACCCTGATTCTTACTAGTATCTTGATGTTGATTCTGTGTGAGCATCAATAATTGGAAATTTGTTTACCTCCTGCAGCTTGACCCATAACCACTTCAGAGTCGATGAAAAGACAAGTAAAAATAGCAAGTAATATGCTATAATTTAGGTGGATTTTTCTACAGTGGTAAATGGCTGTCTGTGATGAAACAGCCATAGCTCACATCCTTCTTTGGGTCATTTAAACTTTGATTTCAGTAACCCAGACTTGCTGTTTGTTAAGAAAACAGACAGGATGGAATGCCTAATAGTACAAGATTATGATGGTGGTGGGGCAGCTTGAAAGGCAGGCTTCTGTGAAGATGGAACAGACTGTTCTAGGTCCAGCCAAGCAATTTCATGTCTGTGGAGTTAATAAAGTTGAACAAGTAAGTAAGGACAAAGGTCCACAATTCATAGTGGTCCCTGGATAGCTCTGGAAGCGAGTCTTCTACAAAGGCTTTATTTAAACAGCTGAAGTTTGCTGTCGCTGCACTGTGTGGGTAACTGTTGCTGAACCCCAGTCACACTGGCCTGGGATCTGCTAAACCCAGGCCCATTGATCTTGTTTTGTTAAACTGGAAGATACGAATCTTCCCAGTTTGAACTAATATCTGGGGCCCCACAACCTCATTTTTAACTCGACCGTTGTTTTGTATAATAGTAACTTACGCTCTCCTTTTAATGATCTGACAGAGTTTGATTTTAACTAAGTTTATTTGAGGCAGTGAGAAACCCAGAATTAACTTTAAATTACATAAGGACCAAAGAAGAGTACTTTCTTTCTCTTCGCTCTGCCTGAGTAGTACCTCATTAGCCCACCTAAAATTTTCTTGTCCCTGCAGTAGTGTCTTGTCGAAGTAGGTTCTAAGAAAATGGAACAGCTAAAACTGGTTTCACGTTAGCCACAACCTGTGATAAATTTGAAAAGAGAAGAAATCCTTCCCTCAGAATAAGCAGGATAGAGTTTTGAATAGTCCTCAGTGAATCCTGCACTACTCTGAACACTCACGTTCATTCACCCCATCTGAAGATGGGTTAAACCACAGAGGTGCTGGCTAACTTTCCAATCCAACAGGAAGGCATAGAAGTTAACAATCGTAGTAGCTAGCCACCAGGATAGAGATGTGGATAAAGGTTCCCAGTATGAACTAATATCTGCTGTCACCAGATTCTGAGAGTAGGCATAACCAGTGTAGTAGTTCCACTCATAAGTAAATTTGAAAACAACTCAATTGAAATTAATCAATTGAAATTAATAACATGTCTTTTCCAAAGTCTGCCCCCAGGGGAAAAGCAGTCTCCATGTTCCAGTGACTGCAGACAGGTTCTCATGAAATACATCACCAGTCCTAGAGTTTAGATCCCCACAAATGATTAGCTCTGCCATGAGAAACATGAATTAAAGTTTAAAAGACCATAGAAATGAAACCATGTACTGAAAACTACCATAGTTGTCTTGGCAGGGAAATATGTGCAAAACAGATTTATCTAGTTATTAGTTATGGAACTAATCAAAATTGACAGGAAGCAGTTTCTGTCTTAGGAGCCGGTCACTGTAACAGTTCCTCTAGGTTTGACTGAGATGGAGCTGCTAGTGTACTTTTTAGTCTCTGCTAAAGTGTCTTTCTCTGATGACTGGAGAGATATAAGACCCCAGACATTAAATATGAACAGATGAATGTTCTAAAATCCATTTCTTTTTTATTTAAAAAAAAGAAAGCCAACACATCAGAATTCTGACCATATGAAGATTCCAGTTTCTCCACTTCTCACCAGCACTTGTTATTGCCTGACTTTTTTATTGTAGCCATCCTAGTGGGTGTGAATTGGTATTTCATTAAGGTCTTGATTTGTATTTTCCTGATGACTGATGATGCTGAGCATCTTTTCATGTGCTTATTGGCCATTTGCATGTCTTCTTTGGAGAAATATGAACATAGTCAGGTACTTTACCCAATTTTTAATTGAGTTATTTGTCTTTTTATTATTGAGTTCTTTGTATATTCTAGATACAAGTACCTTATCAGATATATGATTTGCAGATATTTTTTCCCATCTTGTGAGTTGTCTTTTCATTTTTTTCGTAGCGTCCTTTGAAACATGGAAGTTTTTAATTTTGATGAAGTCACATTTATCTGTTTTTTTCTTTTGTTGCTTGTATTTTTGGCATCATATCTAAGAATCCATTGCCAAGTCCAAGCCCATGAAGATTTTTTTCTTCTAAGAGTTTTATAGCTTTAAACCAAAAAAAGAAAAAGAAAAAAACCCTTTGCCATCGAGTCGTTTCTAACTCATAGCGACTGTATAGGACAGAGTAGAACTGCCCCATAGGACTTCCAGGGAGCAGCTGGTGGATTCGAACTGCCGACCTTTTTGGTTAGCAGCTGTAGGTCTTAACCACTGCGCCATCAGGGCTCTGGCTTTATAGCTTTAGCTTTTAAATTATTTAAGTTAATTAAAATTAAACTTACAATTCAATTCCTTAGTCACACTAGCCACATTTTGGGTGCTCATGTGACTAGTGTCTACCACAGTGGTCACTGCAGATACAGAACAGTTCCATCATCACAGGAAGTTCTTTTGGACACACAAACCCCTTCTTTGAAGGAACATACCAGTAGAAAATGGGCTAAGGATTTAAACAGGGAGTTCACAAAGAAAAATCAAATGGACAGACTCACATACACACAATTGTTCAGTAATCAAAGAATTGTAAATTCAAACAGAGATACCATTTTTAGCCCTTCGCCCAATCAGATTAACAGTGACAGCTTCCTTCAGGACTTGACTCAGAAGGCAGTCAGTGAGGCCTTCTCTGCTCACCCTAAAATTTCAAGCCCTGACCCTTCCATTTCCTGCTGGTTTTCATTAGCACTTCCATTAATATGCCATGTATTTAACTTATTTTTCTTGTTTATTGTTGGTCTGCCCCCTTTAAATGTAAAAACTTGAGAGCCTGTTTTGCTCACTCTTTACTCTCTATTTAGTATGCCTCCCCAGTACCTAGAACAGTCCCAGATATAGCAGAAACTCAGATTGTTGTGGTTGAATCAGAGTTGGCAACGTGTAGAGAAACAAGTACTCTCATGTGCTATCAGAGAGAGTAAATTGGCACAACCTTTCTGGCAGCAGTTTTATGTAAAAGTCTCAAAATTATGCTTGCCCTTTGACCCAGCATCTCTCCTTCTAGGTGTTTATTATAAGGAAGTAATTAATAATGTGCTCAGAGCTACAGCTGGAAGATTCAGCCATAATGGAATGCTTATCTGCAGTCAGGAAAACTCTTGCACGGACATATTGGAAAGAATATAGATGGTTTTATTTTGGTTTTAAATATGGTAACAAAGAACTATTTTGCAGAGTTGTTCCAAAGAGATCTTCCTTTCTTTCCTAATGCCTTAGCGTTTTAAAATATTGCCTCATTACTGACTTGTCTGACCTACTTCTTTCTTAAGCAGAACTATAACTTACCTAGAAATTTCTTTCCACAGGTCCCTTAATATGGACTTTGAAAATCAAGATAAGGAGAAAGACAACAACAGTTCTTCTGGGTCTTTTAATGGCAACAGCACCAATAATAGTAAGACATTTTATGCCACTTAACTTTTACACATGTACTTGTCTTAATTTGATTCTTTCTGTATCCTCAGTTAATAATTTATTGACTTCAAGGATTTATATTTATTTTCTTAAAGATAAGCAGAATAGATTAGTATCTGTCAGCTTATGACTTCATTAAGTATTTTGGTGGGGTTGATAGAGTTTTGTAGGTGTTAATCATCAATTCATTCAGTGACTTAAAAGTTAGCTACTTGAAGTACTTCTAAAACTAAGTATTATGATTATCTCTCCTGATATTTAGGGCATTATAAGGATACTTGCTTTATAAAAAATAGAAGTGTGTTATACGGCAAATATTCAGCAGCAGCATTCATAATAGCTTGCCTTTTGTAAAACAATGCAAATGTCCATAAACTAGTGAATGGATAAACAAAATACTGTATATCCATACAATGGAATGCTGTTCAGCAGTGAAAAGAATGAAGTGCCGATACATGCTATAGCATGGTTGAACCTCAAAACATTATGCTAAGTGAAAGAAGCTGAAAGAAGCCTGACACAAAAGCTCACATATTAAATGGTTCCATTTATATGAAATTTCCAAAAAGGCAAATTTTATAGAGACAAAAAGGTGATTAGTGGTTGTCTGGGGCTAGGGGTGGGAAGGAACATTAACTATAAGCGGGCATGAGGGAGTTTATTGGGTTGATGAAAATGTTCTTTACTCAAAAAAAAAAAAAAAACACATTGATTTGTGTACGTAAAATGGGTTAATTTTACAGTATATAAATTATACCTGAATAGAGTTATAGGAAATTGGTGGTGCTTATTATGGAAAGAGAAGTGAATTAGAAATAAGGAGACTTGATTTTACAATATTAAGAGATTTATACTGGGTACCTACCATGTGCTTGGCATTCTCTTCAATATTTTGAAAGTTGCATAAGTACAAGGACTAGTACCCAAGCTGTCATATAGGCAGCATGGCCAAAATACTTTCCAAGGTTTTAGAGAATGCAGAGACAGAGATGGAAACCCTGGTGGTGTAGTGGTTAAGAGCCATGGCTGCTAACCAAAAGGTTGGTAGTTCAAATTCACCAGGCGCTCCTTGGAAACACTATCGGGCAGTTATCCTCTGTCCTTTAGGGTCACTATGAGTTGGAATCAACTCAACAGCAATGAGTCATGGGTTTTTAAGACAGAGATGGCAAGTACCACTTTCCTCCTGTATTTGAGGCAGGTACTTCTTCTCACTGAGTCTCACCATAGCCTCAGAATCCTTTTGAATAAGCAGCTACTAACAATGAATCAGAGTAAGCTCTGGAGATCATTTTGACATTCATGTACACATGTACAAAGAGAGTAAAGAGAAAGGCAAGTTGCAAGTGAGCAACAGTGGGTCAAGTAAGGGACTTTTCTGGAGAAGATGAGTTTGACTCGAAACAATGAACTTGGGTTGGTGGAGAGGAAGCCATGCAGGTGGGAAGAGTACATAAAAACAGGAACAGAGGGGAGAATGAGCATGACTTACATAACAGGGTAAAGTCAGCAGCCTGATATGGAGGAAATACCAGGGATCTAATATGAGGTATGGAGCCCTGGTGGCGCAGTGGTTATGAGCTTGGCTGCTAACCATAAGGTTGGCAGTTCGAATCCACCAGCTGCTCCTTGGAAACCCTTTGGGGCAGTTCTGCTCTGTCTTATAGGGTCACTGTGAGTTGGAAGCGACTCAACAGCAACAGGTTAACATAAGGTTGGAGTCCCAGGGTGTGGTGCCAGCGGTTCACATGCTCAGCTGCTAACTGAAAGGTTGGATGTTCAGGTCCACCCAGAGGTGCCTCAAAAAAGGCCTGGTGATCTTCTTCTAAAAAATCAGAAAACCTATGGAACACAGTTTCACTCTGACGTACATGAGGTCACCATGAGTCAGAGTTGACTCAACAGCAACTGGTTTTGTTTTTCTGAATATTAGGTTAGATACACTGATAGAGATAATATTGGTGGAGATAACTTAATTTCTACTTCAGTGTCTCTAGTTATTATTATACCCGGTCAACCAAATTACACTTCGCCGGTTTTCACCCAGTTACATGTGTTTCACTGTCAACCAGTAGTACAGAGTAGGAATGATAAATACAGTAAGCAGAATCATTTAAATATGATGTCTTTCAAAACTTACGACACAGATCCTTGTATGAGGTAAAATACCATATGAATAACTTAATAAGAACCAGGCAAAAACCCAGTGTCAGAATCTGATTTTCAGATCAAATTATTATATAACAGTTTGCCTTCTATGAACATTTTAAGCCAAATCATTTTATACTCTTAAAAAATCTCTTTAAAGTTCTGTTTGTAAACTATATACAAATGATGTGCTTAAACCAGATTATAAATCTGTTGTTCATTGCATCACATCTAGCTCAGAAACCTAAGAGAAATCTATAGTCTATGTCTAAGCACAGTGTTATTCTCAAATAAATTAATGGTGATGTCAGTCCATACAATAGAAGGAAGTTGCCTGGTAACACCAGTTTTTGATTTCTCATTATTAATCAGAATCTAAAAAGTAGTAGAGTATTCCCTTTTTAAATGATCATTTTTCTTTACCTCCTGTGATGTGCAAAATTATCCTCAACCACATATGTTTCTTCACTGCCTGCTCTGGGCCAGGGATACCAAAAGGCATAAGGTTACAGTCCCAGCCTTTTCTGATGACAGGTTAGGATAGTATGCAGTCTGCTTCCACATAATTAGGAAAAACATAATGAAAGAATTAGCCATTGCAGAGAAGGTCAGTACTTGATTATGGAGTAGGACGTCATTGCAGTTTGAAGGGATGGAATGGAGAATGGAATGCATCTATCAAGATTCAAAGAAATAGTAACAGCCAGAAAGATGAATAGAGAAACACAAGAGATTGTATAGGTGCCTAAAGAGAGTCCTGAATGATTAACAATGTAGAAGAATTGGGGGGAAGGTTCTAAGAAAAAGAAGACATGGATTTATTGTTAAGACTTTGGCAGTAGTGTTTTGGACTGATTGAAGGAGAAAATGACTAAATAGCGGTTTTTGAAAGTTTGCAGTTGCCCGCTCTCAAAATAGTAAGAATCGTGAGCGGCCATCTAAGATACTCCACTGGTCTCATCCCTTTGGGAGCAAGGGAGAATGAAGAGAACAGGATACAAGGAAAAGATTAGTCCGAAGGACTAATGGACCACAGCTACCAAGGCCTGCACCGGACTGAGTCCAGTACAGCTAGATGGTGCCCGGCTACCACCACTGACTGCTCTGACCAGGATCACAACAGAGGGTTCTGGACAGAGCTGGAGAAGGATGTAGAACATAATTCTAACTCACAAAAAAAAAGACCAGATTTACTGGCCTAAGGGAGACTGGAGAAACCCCGAGAGTATGGCCCCCAGACACCCTTTTAGCTCAGTGGTGACGTTATCTCCAAAGTTCACCGTTCAGCCTGGGAGTGGACAGCCCCGTAAAACCAAATGAGACTAACGAGGTACAGGACTCCAGTGACAAGGGCCAGAAGACAGAAGCGGACAAGGAAGCTGGTGAGAGGGAACCCAAGGTTGAGTAGGGATATTGTTGATGTGTTGTGAGATTGTTAACCATTGTCATAGGGCAACATGTGTAGTAACTGTGAAATGAGAAACTATTTTGTTTTGGAAGCCTTCATCTTAAGTGAGAATAGCAGCACAATTGGAAGAGTATAGTCGATGTCACTGAAATGTGCATGTAGAAATTTTTGAAATGGTGTATCTTTGACTATGTGTATTTTCACCAAAAAAAAAGGTTGAGAAGTTAGAGGGTTGACATGTTGTGGGGTTGTTAACCAATGTCATAAAACAATATGTGTACTACTGTTTCATGAAAAACTGTTTGTTCTGTAAGCCCTCACCTGAAGTACAATTAAAAAAAAAAAAAAGCTGAAATGAAAAACAAGAAAAAAAATAGTAAGAATCAAGGAGTTTGTGAAAAAGACATGAGAGAAAGAAAAGGTGTAGGTTATTGGATTGGAAATAGATTTGAATATGGAAGAAAAGGAGTGAAGAGTTACTCTGATTACATGCTTTGTAAACGTCAGATGATTAAGTTTTTCTTATAGGAGAAGCTAGAAAAATGGAAGGAGAAGCATAAAGCAATGACTTAAAGAGGATTAGATAGGCTATGTGATTCATACCCAAAAATCAAAACTTACAATAGGGGAAATCATTTTGTAAATAAGTATTTCTCTTTGCAGATGGTTTCACTGCAGGGTTCCCTAGGGCATTTGACCAAAAGACTGGGGAATTATACTGTAGATTGTAGTAATACTGCACCTATCTGAGCAACTCCAACCACCCGGAAGTAAGGAAGAGAGTAGAGCAGACCTACCAGGAAGTATGGCACTCATCTTATTATAAAGCAGGAAAATAAAAATGAACACCATAATGAAATAATACTCCATACCTTCCAGAATAGCTAAAATAAAAAGCCTGACACCACCAAGTGTTGCTGAAGATGTAGAGCAGTGAGAACCCGCTTGCACTGTTGGAGGGAGTGTCATTTGCCATAATCACTTTGGAAAACAGTTTGGCATTATCTACTAAAGGGCAAGATATAAATACCATAGGACCCAGCATGTCACTCCTAGTTATATGCCTAACAAATAAATGGCTCATGTACAACAAAACTCGTATAAGAATGCTCAAAGAAGCATTATTCATAATGGCTAAACAGTTGGAAACAATTCAGGTGTCAACCCTAGAATGGATAAATTTTAATATATTCATACAGTGGAATACAACACAGCAATAAAAATTAGTAAACTATAGCTACATGTAACAGCATGGATGAGTCTCACAAACGTTGAATGACAAAAGCCAGGCACAAAAAAAAAAAAATCCTACATAATTCAACATATATAAAGTTCAAGACACAGACAAAACTAAACAGTAGTATTTAAGGATGCGTGCTTGGGTGGAAAACAAAGCAAAGAAGAAGGTACCACAGAAGTCAGGTCAGGATAGTAAGTAGTTCCCTTTGGGGGAAAGAAAAAGAGAGTGATGATTGGGAGGAGCACGTGGGAGGGTCCTGAGTTTGGCAAGGTTCTGTTTCCTGACCTGGGTCATATTGGCTTTGTGATGATTCACTGAGCTCTACATTTTTCTTCCATGTACTTTTCTGTGTGTGCGTGTTAGAAAGCGTTAGAAAGAAAGTGGGACGAGGTTCATTTCCTCTAACCTTTTTCCACATCCTGTTCTCATCTCTACATCTGCCCCTCAACAAGCCTATATAGAAATGTTCTTCCCGAGCATATCAGTCTTTCATTTAATTAGTATCTAGTGGGTTTTTTTTTAATGCCACACCCTCCCACCCCCACCCCCATTATCTGAGATATTGAAGTCCTTTACTAGGCTTTCGATATAATTCGATTATAAAGATTGATGTACAGTTGGAATTCTCTTCATTAATATATATATATCTTAATCTCCGACTGTAAACTCCGTAAAATCTGGAAATGACTTTTTTAAAATCCGTCTTGTTGCTTACATGCTTCTCATGAAAGTCAAAAATCAGACACTGTATTATTGCTCAGTGTCTATTTCATGACCAGACATATATTCAGCCTGTAGCTTTGTTCATTGAATGCTGAAAATAATGTCTGTACATAATATTTAATCTCATCACCATGGCAGTTCAAATCCACCAGCTGCTCCTTGAAAACCCTATGGGGCAGTTCTGCTGTGTCCTATAGGGTCACTATGAGTTGGAATCAACTCCATGGCATTGGATTTGGTTTGGTTTTTGCCTATCACCATGTCTGTTTCTTTTGTTAATTTTCGGTTTCAAGATAATGCACTGCGTTTGAGTAAGTCCTTCCAGTTATGTCTGCTGTTTTGTTTCGCTTTGTTTTGTTCGTATGTCACTGGAGTTTGGCTAAAATTTCTGATTAATTAGTCCCTTCCCCTTTAGGACATTATCTCTTCAAACCTTCAGGAAGTACAATATCGAAGTCATGTACACTATTTTAGGTAGGATATTTCAGGTAGCATGTTGTCAGCAACTAAAGGGAGTTTTGGAGACCTGGTGGCACAGTGGTTACGAACTTGGCTGTTAACCAGAAGGTCAGCAGTTCAAATCCACCAGCTGCTACTTGGAAACCCAATGGGGTAGTTCTGCTCTGTGCTGTAGGGTCACTGTGAGTTGAAATTGACTCAATGGCAAATTGCTGTTTGGTAAACTCTCTTTTGCATCCTTCTGTAAAACTACTAGAAGCAACAGTGTCTGATACCTCCTGGTTTAAAAATCTGTGCTTTCCAAAAAAAATCTGCATTCTAATATTCTAGAAGGTTCTTTGTGTATTCAGTTTTGCAGTTTAATTGCAGGTTGAGCTTCTAAAGCTTAAATTTATTATAAACACATACCTGACTTACTAAACAGTATTCGTTCTAGCCAGCCATTTTTCTGTTCATATTTTGAACCAGTGTAACTATCTGTATACTATATGATGCTTTGTGTCATAGACGAGGGATGTGTGTGTAAGATTTATAATTTTTTTTTTTTTCAGATATTTGCTTCTTATCCTAAACAGATAATCATTTATTTGGGAAACCGTTATTTTCTCTTGTGAAAGCCATCTGATATCTGTAGTTTCCTCTAATTCTTTCTTGAACTATTTGCAGAGCACTTAAATTCAAAAACTATTTTAGGTGAAATTTAGTTAGAGATTTCCTAGAATTCTTAGAAGTGTCTATAAAGTACTTTAAGGTAAGCATCTTCCTGGCCCACCCCCCACTGCCCAGTGATCCCTGGGCCAACGTGCGTGGACTTGATCACCATCCAGGACAGACCTTGTCTCCAGATCATTTGTTTGTCATGACATAGATCACTTTTCCTAAATTGAATTGCCCTATTCCTAAGTGCATTATTTAACCCATCTACCTAGCCATTAAGAAGCAGTTTTGTCCTGGACTCTCTATCACCCCAGAAATAAAACAATTTCCGAGGCCAACTCTTCAGACAGGGATTGGACTGGACTATGGGACATAAAGTGATACTTGTGAAGAATGTGCCTCTTAGTCAAGTAGATACAAGAGACCAGAGGGGCTGCTTCTGTCCAGAGGTGAGGTGGGAAGGCAGACAGAGTTAGGAGCTGGTTGAGTGTTCCTGGGGAATCAGGGGCGGAGGGGAGGAGTGTGCTGTCACAGAATGGGGTGAGCAGTTGGGGTCTCATAACAATGTATGTTAAAAAAACACAAAAACAATTCTGTATGGGAGACTAACTTGAAATGTAAACTTCATTTAATTACAACAATTAAAAAAAAAAAAACAGTTTTGTTTTGTAGAAATATTTAACGTATTATCTCACTAAAATCCCTAAATAGCTTTTTCAGGAGCAGCTAAATTTAGATACTTAAGCGCGATTTTTAAATGTTGGTTGATGATTGCAGCCCTTTGTGCCTAGTTATGTTCATCCTGGTTGTATGAAGAGAGACTGTTGCTTCTAATATTTCTTTATAATAGAGCATGTGAGCATTTTTTCTTGGTTCCTTTTCATGCATTTTTCTTTAATTTGGAAGTGGGTAGCATACAAGACAAAATTAGTACTTTTTCTCTCCTCATTCAGTGTCTCTCAAATTTTGCTATGTTTTCCTTCTCTGCCGAATATTCTATTACTAGTTATCAACTCTGGATACACAGTAAAAATTTTTGGGGAGTTTTAAGCTGAGCCTAACCCCCACAGATTTCAATTTAATTGGTCTGGTGTTGGGTCTGGACATTGTAATTTTTTAAAGTTTTCCGGGTGATCCTAATGAGCAGCCAAGAATTGAAAACCACTTTGATAAACCCTACTGTATCCCAGGAGATTCTGTTTTCCCCCATTTATCTCCTTTTCTGTTCTTAAACTGTTCCCATAAAATAATTTTTCTAATTTGGTGTTCTCTCCCTTCCTCCCTCCACCCAAAGTCAATCCTCAACTATTAGCAACAGTGGGAAAGAGTGAACATGAGTCCGTTAAACCCACAGATGAGTAATTAGTCAGTGTGTTTAAACCACCTCTTACCACCCTGTACACGAGACTACAAAGGTACTCAGATTGACTAATCTGAATCTTTACTATCACTTGATGTTCTTGATTATTTTTTGTACCCTGTCATACAGATGGTAAGCACCAGGAGGTAGCTAATCAATCCAACAAGTATTTCTTGAACACCTATTATAATGAAGGCACTATGAGTACAGCAAGGAGCTCATAATCTCAGGGAAGGAGAGAGTTGGGGGGCCTGGATATTCCATAGTTTATATACGAATCCCTAGATCTGTGGGCAGTTTGATGAGTTAATGTATATAAAAGCATGTGGCACCGTGCCTGTTACATAGTAAGTGGTTAATATGTCCCTTTTTGTCTCTTTCAGGTATCCAAACTATTGACTCTACCCAGGCCTTGTTCCTTCCAATTGGAGCATCTGTCTCTCTTCTAGTAATGTTCTTCTTCTTTGACTCAGTTCAAGTAGTTTTCACCATATGTACAGCAGGTAATGAGTTTCTCTGTCTATTCTTAACATACCTAAAAGGAAATGTTTTCACCTTTTGTATTATCATCATTCAAAAATTAAGATTTATACGCCATGCCATGCAAGTTTTTAATAAGTCTGGCTTTTACTTTTTTCCCACCACCTTTGAACTATTTGAGAAAAAGGAAACCTGAGATACACATAACATCTACTCAGACGTGCCAGCACAATCTGAAAGAAAGGCCAGGGATTTGAAAACACATGCGTTTCATGACACCAGAGCAGTATTGCTTTGGCTATAGCTCCATTTCTGGTAGGTTACCAGAAGGTCTAGTTTGGTATAGGGGTGATGGACCTCCCAGTGTTTCTATAAATAAGGGATTGATAGCTAATCAAGATAACTTGGCTGTCAGCTCTCGGATCAGTTTTCAAGCTGAGTGATGATGGAAATGTATAAAACATCAACAGAATGCTACAAGACTTGTTAGGGGACCATCCCCTGGCCCACTATTTCTTTATATCTTCTTGTTAAGATAGGAGAGAATGAGAAAACCTACATATGTTTCGTTTCCCCATACTTCAAATCAGGCAATTTTCTTTTTTTTTTTTTTAAGAGCTTATCTGTTCAGTGGTAAGGGAGGATATTTTTCTTCACTAGTTAATTTCATCTATTTCATCTTATTGTATTCACTTGTCAAGAGACGTATGCTGGGAATGATTAAGTTTCTCTAAGTAAGTCATGCCATTTTCCTATAATTGGTTTTAAAAAAAATTAACCCTGTATTTTCTTTTCTCTAGTTCTTGCAACGATAGCTTTTGCTTTTCTTCTTCTCCCAATGTGCCAGTATTTAACAAGACCCTGTTCACCTCAGAACAAGTAAGTGCTTGGGATTTTCCTCCAAGTTATGAACTTGGGTATGCTTTTATCTCATACTTGATCACATTATCAGGAGTCTGAATTTCTGGGACTGACTGGAGCATACAGATGCCAGACGACTGGAAAAAGATGTTTGAACTTTAGAACTAGAAGCTAATACTTCCTTTTAATACTTCCTTTTGCATCTTTTCATGGCAGAAGAAGTATAAACAAATCTTAGGAAGTCAGAGTCATTGTAATACACTTCCTGCTTAGGTTATTGAAAGATGGGCATTTCTCTTTGGAAACATGCTTTTCATTCCTTTACTAGTGAGTTAATGGAATGTGAGAATAGTGATTGGACTCAAACGTTCTTCTTTGCTTTTCATCTTCGATGATCTAGAATATATACTCATCATGTAGGTTTTAATCCCAATATTCACACCTTAACTCCTAAAGCCATTTTTCTCCATGGAAACAAAATGCCATGTAAATGGAGGTGCTGTATGCATTTAAGAAACCAGCCACTTGGGGCAGCTGATTTTCTCAGGAATTAGTAAGAACCGAATAGATTTACCTCCTAATAAATATTTATTCATCTTTGTTAAATGGATTGATAGCGACTGTCTTCCTTTTGTTTCCCCTCTAAGAATAGAATTTCCCCTATACTTCTCCAGAGTTTGATATCGTCACTTAAAAATTCTAAACACTCATGTTTGATCATTTGAGCTAAGAAGTACATTATCAAATGAGTGCAGAAGTATAATTCCTCTGAGTTTTCTAAAGCTTACTCCAGAGACATCTGGGTATTGGAGGTTTCCAGGTATCTAGGCATTCTAGGCATTGCCTGCTATTGTAATATTGTAATTTGGCCATCGTGAACTCTGATCATACAGAACCAAGAGAGTTTGTTATTGAATAAATTCTGCCCACCAGTCCAATAAAACCAGTCCAATAAATGTTGTGTTTTCTCCAGGATTTCCTTTGGTTGCTGTGGGCGTTTCACTGCTGCTGAGTTACTATCATTCTCTCTGTCTGTCATGCTTGTCCTCATCTGGGTTCTCACTGGCCACTGGCTCCTTATGGATGGTGAGTAACTCATAACTGACAAGTTGGGATTTTGCTTAATTTAGTTTTATAAATAGTCAAATCGGTCTGTCCTGTCTTCTTCTACCTTCTTTGTTTTAGTAACATTACCCCTAATTACCATGAATATTAGCTATCCAAAGGATGGTGCTGTGTACCATGGAATTTATTTTTTCCCCACATTCTAAAGATATTTCTTAATAACACCTTTGAGATGTAATACAATTCACCTATTTAAAGTGTACAGATCACTGGGTTTTAGTATACTCACAGAATTGTGCGACCGTCACTACAATCAATTTTAGAGCTTTTTCATCATGTATGCCCCCAAAACCTGGTACCCATTAGCAATCACTACCCCCTTTTCCTCCACCTTGGCCCCAGCCATCCACTAATTTATTTTCTGTCTCTGTGGATTTGCCTATTCATATACATGGAATCATACATTATGTGGCCTTTTGTGCCTTGGCTTCTTTCCCTTAGCATAATGTTTTCAAGGTTCATCTATGTTGTAGCATGTATCAGTACTCTGTTCCTTTTTATGGCCAAATAATATTCCATTGTATGGATAGACCACATTTTATTTATCCATACACCAATTGTTTCCACTTTTTATCCCTTATGAGTAAAGCTTCTATGAGCGTCCGTGTATAAGTTTTTCTGTAGATTATTCTTATACAAATGGGATTATACTGTATACAAATGAGATTATACTGTTCTGTAACCTTTTTACATAATAACATAAATACATGTCTGTATCATTACATAAAAGTATATCATACCCTTTTTTATTAACTCCACGGTATTCCATTGTATGTATGTTTCATAATTAACTATTGCTGGGTCCTTAAATTGTTTCCATTCTTCTTCTATTATAAACAACCCTAAGGTCAACATTCTTGTTTTCCACCTCTTGGTGTACATGTCAAATTATTTACTAAGATTATTTGCTAAGGATGAATTCCGAGATGTAAAATTTCTGGAACAAAGGATTTTTGTTTTTAGAATCTTCATATATTATTACTAAGAAATGCTATAACAGTTTAGACTCCCACCTGTAGCAGATGAGGATTTCCCTTCATTGATGATAATAATGATGAAATAATGACAATTACAGCTAACATGTATTGAGTGCTTATTATGAATTGGGTACTCTGCTGTGACTTTTACATGAATTATTTTATTCCTCAAACAACTCTATGAAGTGGATACCATTATTGTTCCCATTTTGCAGAGGAGGAAACAGGTTCAGAGAAGTTAAGTAACTTACCCAGAGTCACAGAAGCCTTGTATATATTTCATGTTTACGACCAAACTAACTTTTAGCATCCTGTAAGGACGTTTCCAGATCTTCTGTAATTCCATCACTCTAACACAATAACTGTTTTTATTTTTTCTATCCTTTCTCTTCAGACATTTTTTAAATTTTTTTAATTTAAGACCCTGGAGCCATTTCCACCTCCTTTTAATTCAGTCTTTAATTTTCACAGTTCACTTTCCTAGTCTCAACAAACTTCTGTCTAACTGCTCTGCCTGACAAAGTCTGTTCACCTTTTCCTTTCTTTTGATGGTTCAGAAGGGAAGGAAGTTAAACAGTGAAGCCTGTGAGAGCTGAAACTCCAACAGGACTGCCTTGTTTTTCCGGGTCTCACAAGTTTTCTGCCTTTGACAGGGTGCATTCTTACTACTTTTCTATCACTTCTGTTAGCAGAAAATATTTGAGTTTTCCTTCTCTGATAGGTTTCTGCTTTACACAGGTTCCACCTTTTGCAGGTTTTACTGTATAAACACAGTCAGTTTTATACTATTTGTAGTTCTAGCGAAAGAAGAATGTTTAAGGGAGGAATTTGAAAGTTGGGGATTACAGGTATGGATTTCATTTATTCCTTTATCTGTTTCAAGCAACCACAGGGTTAGTCAAGTCCTTGGAAACGAGAACCAACTGCCAAGTCTGAGAGGCTCCTCTCTGCTGGGCAGTGTTTCCTTGCAACTCAGCCTGGCTGGGTGCAGAGGAGCTGTCATTCAGTGGGCCAGTTGTCTGATCCCCAGGCCACCCAGGGTGATCCTTACTGCCCCTGCCTCAAGTTCAGGAGTAGCTAAGTTACTCAGACACTTTTTAAGTACCATGACATTAGAATATAGATACTTTCTGCAACTGATCTTAAAGTTTGCTGAGTAGTATTTGCTACACTGTTTGAAGTGGTGTTTTTGTATTTATAATTTTAAGAAAACTTACATCAAAGGGAAGGATTAGTCCAAGGGACTAATGGACCACAGCTACCACAGCCTCCACCAGACCGAGTAAAGCACAACAAGATGGTGCCCGGCTACCAGCACCAAGTGTTCTGACATGGATCACAATAGAGGGTCCCGGACAGAGCTGGAGAAAAATGTAGAACAAAATTCTAACTCACAAAAAAAAGACCAGACTTACTGGCCTGACAGAGACTGGAGAAACCCCCAGAGTATGCAGAGTATGGCCCCTGGACACTCTTTTAGCTCAGTAAGGAAGTCACTCCTGAGGTTCACCCTTCATCTAAAGATTAGACAGGCCCATAAAACAAAACGAGACTGAAGGAGCACACCAGCCCAGTGGCAAGGACTAGAAGGCAGGAGGGGACAGGAAAGCTGGTAATAGGCAACCCAAGGTGGAGAAGGAAGAGTGTTGACATGTCATGGGATTGGTAACCAGTGTCACAAAACAATATGTGTACGAACTGTTTAATGAGAAGCTAGTTTGTTTTGTAAACCTTCATCTAAAATACAATAATTTAAAAAAAAAAAAAAAAGAAAACTTACATCAAAAATGTGAATTAACTCAAAACCAAGGATGTTCTGCTCATGGTCAAATTGGATAGAATTTGACAAAAAGGATTTTAAATCGCATTCTTTTCTATAACCTGGAATCAGTATTACATCATTTCCCTCAGGAAACAGTCAGTGAAAAGGAAACTATGGATGTTATTATAATATATAGTCTTAATAAGGAAAAAATTTTAAACCTGAAGGGAAACTAAAAACTTACCCTTCTGCTTCAGAGGATTTTTTTCCACATAAGTAACTTTGACCAGTACAAGGATTTGGAATTATCTGTGCCAGTTAATTAGTAAAAAGCTGAAAGTTACTGGATATTATGAGAGAACAAACTAGAGTGGATTGCAAGCCTTGTAAAATTATATTTAAAAGGCATATATTATTTTAATCCAAGGTGATAATTATAGTGAAAGCACTGTAGAAACTGTCAAACATAACAAATGTAAGACATAGTTATTATTTTACTCAAAATTACAGTGATAAGGGACTGATCAGTGGTTGCCAGGTGTTACGAGTTACGAGTAGCGGGAGGGTGTGATTATACAGAAATAATAGCATGAGGGATTTTTGGGAGTGATATAACTGTTCTGTACTCCACTTGTGGTGGTTCTACAAATCTGTACTTGTGTCATAATTCATAAAAAAAAAGCCAAACCCGTTGCTGTCAAGTCGATTCCGACTCATAATGACCTTATAGGACAGATTAGAACTGCCCCATAGAGTTTCTAAGGAGCACCTGGTGGATTCGAACTGCTGACCTTTTGGTTAGCAGCCGTAGCTCTTAACTACTATGCCACCAGGGTTTCCATAATTCATAGAATATATATGTGTATATATATATCTGTTTTTGTCTATTGGTTTTTTGAGTGCATACCATATACCAAGCTATTGAAACGCAAAGGCAGTTCCTTGAGGCTGCAGATCAGGTTGCCCTGTAGACTTACATACAGACCTTTTATGACTCGGAATGGGAAGGCAAAGTCAAAATCACCGAGGCATAGTCTGTGCGAGAATTCACCTTTGCTGATTTCTGACAGCACTAGGTTTGGTCTCTCAGCATCCTACATTGCCTTATAAAAAACTCTTGCTGTGATTCCCTTTGAGTCCTTGAGTGCCCACCATGCATATAAGCATTCTGAAGTGCAGTGTATAGAATTTTTAAGTGATTATCAGAACTGCTAAATTTCTCAAATCAATTATTGGTGCTTTCAGTATTCTTACGGATTTGTGTTTAATACTTCACTGCTTCTGAAGCTGATAAAGAGTAAGTTGAGAAAAGAAATTACTTTCAAGGTCACACAGTGAGTTGCTCTGGGTGAATACCTGTTTTATCTAGATTAGGTATCGTTAAGAGTGATAAAGTGGCAGGTATGGTATGTTAGATTGTTCCCAAGATTAACTCTTAATTTCTGCAGAAGAATGATTTGTTAAATAAAAGTAAGGAGGAAATGAGTAGAATATGAATTATATGAATTGGGCATGTAGGGATTTTGAAAGACTTTAATATTAAGGAGTCTTGATCTTGATAATGATTGGAGCAGAGGAAGTTAGTATTAGTCCAAATCAAGCTCATAGCACTTTTTATGATTATATCCCGTAAAGCTCATCTAGTCATGATACAGAAGCAAGCAACCCTAACGTTTCTTCTCTATTACTTCTGGGACAAAGCTATTTAGAAATGCTGGTTAGAGCCCCATAAAACAAAATGAGACTAATGGGGCACGGTAGTCCAGGGACAAGGACTAGAAGGCAGGCGGGGACAGGAAAGCGGGTAATAGGAATACAATGTTGAGAAGGGACAGTGTTGACTTGACATGGGGTTGTTAACCATTGTCATAAAACAGTATGTGTACTGTTTAATGAAAAACTGTTTGTTCTGTAAACCATCTAAAGTACAATAAAAAATAATAAAGAAAAAAAAAATGCTGGTTCATTAAAATCTAAACCAGGCTCTTTCAGCCCTTGTAAATTGACTGTTTGGATGACTGTTAACTACATATTCTTAAAAGAGATTGTTTTATGATGGTGTCCTTAAACAACAGGTTGAGAGCCCACCCATATAAATGAAAGGCTTAAATACGTAACCAAGGATATTCAGCGACCTTGAAGTCTCTCAGTCCCCTGCGTAGTCTGAGGTTCTCTGTAATCCCACCACAAACTTTTTGAGGCTCTCTTTTCATGGATCACTT